TCTGCTGTGGATACCACGAAGCCTTCTCCCAGAAGGTACTGTATATGCCGGCGTATAAGGCACCTGGCGTATAAGACGACCCCCATCTTCGGCACTGAGTCACATGCCTAGAAAGTCATCTTATGTGCCGGAAACTACCGTTATTTCCGGCATATAAGACGACTCGGCGTATAAGACGACCCCCAACTTCGGCAGCAATTTTAATGCTTGCGAAAGTCGTCTTATACGCCGGAAAGTACGGTAACAAGGAAAACAGGTCGTGAAGACAATGTAGTGTCCCAGATAATCTTATGGACCCTGCTCAAGCAGCGCTTCTGTGCTATGTCCTGGATGGGAGGGAGGGGACTGCCAATGATCTTTTCGGCCATTCTCACCATTCTCTGCACCGCCTTCCTATCTGAAGCAGCGATGCTTCCAAACCAGACTGTGATGCTTTATGACAGGATGCTCTCAATCGTCCCCCTGTAGAAATGGTCAGGACAGTGGAAGGAAGATGTGCTTTTCTCATGCGAAGCAGAAAATGCAGGCATTGCTGTGCCCACTTTACCAATTTCTCATTGTTGAGCGACCAAGCCAGCCTACTCATTAGCTGCACACTCAGGAATTTGATGCTGGTAACCATCTTCACTGGTGAATCATTTATGCACAGAGATGTGTGGCTGTGCCTGCCTTTTCTGAAATCAACAATGATCTCTTTGGTTTTTCTGATATTTAAAACTAGGCTGTTTTCCTTACAATTAATTACAATTAATTAATTAATTCCCAATTAAAAGCAGAACTTGTAATGACTGATAAACATGGTAGATTTGTTGGGGTGGAAATTAATATACACGGAACTAAGACTTAGACAGCCCAAATTTGGACAAAGTATTGTTTTACAAATGGAGAAACTAATATATGTTGCTTCTGAAAATTAATGTTTGCTGGAGTGATCTCCCCACAAGTGGACAGAACTTCTGAGAAAAATATTAAAATCACTCAAAGAAAGTTATCAAAGTTTTCTTTGATTTGATGGACAATCTAGGGCTGGGTGATATATGGAGAAAGAAAAATGATACTTTAAGAAATTATGCCTACTTTTCTGAAAGATATATATCTTTTTCAAAAATAGACATGATTTGGATTTCAAAGAAATCAGCTACTAATGTATACTCAAAAAGGGAGAAAATTTGATTTTAACAAGAAGCTATAGGCCCATGTCATTACTGAATAATGACTACAAGAAGTTCACAAAATTCCAGCTGACAAACTGAAAATAATTTTGCAGAAATTTATTCATGGGAGTCAATGTGGTTTTTTACCTAAAAGTCAATTAAAGGACAATGTTTAGAAATGGGCTGGGCATTTTGGAATATTTTGAGAACATAATAAAAAACTATCTGTATTGATCTTCTAAGATGCAGAAAACAATTGGAATTGGGCTGCGAATAATATAGGGATGCTCACAGTCTCCTCTCTTCTTTATTTTGATTCTTGAAATAATGAACAGAGATATAAGACAAGATGAGGGAATATTGAAGTAAAGAATTTATAAGAAACCTGTAAGTTAAGGGCTTTTGCAGATGACTTGGTGTTGGTTATGAAAGATCCTTTAAAGGGAAATAAAATATTAATAGCAAATTAAAAGTTCTTGGTGCATTAACAGGTTTCAAGATTAATAAACAAAATATGAAGATGTTAAATAGAACTGTGAAACTGGAAGATCAAACAGAATTGATGAATAAAATGGGCTTTAAGATTGACAGGAAGATAAAATATCTGAGTATCACTATGACAAATATGAATTGTATGTTATTTCAAAATAACTATGTTAAGACATGGAATGAAGTTAAAAAGTTAGTTTAAGATGGGAAAAATTACAACTATCATCGCTGGGAAGAATTTCTGTGATAAAAGTGAATGTCTTCCCTAGAATGATGTTTTTGTTTTAGACAACATTTGACAACTGATACACTATTTAAACAGTGACAGAAAGATGTATCTAAATTTGTATGGGAGGGGAAAGAGCCACAAGTTAAACATAAGGTGTTATAAGATGCAAAATAAATGTTTATCTGATTTGAAATTGTATTTTACAGCTTGCTGTTTGATTTGGATAAAAGAATGGGTGTTGCTGAGAAATGAAAAGTTTTGGAGTTAAAGGACATGACCCGAGATTTCAGTGGCATGGATGTTTGTGGCATGACAAAGTCAAGGCTAATGTGAATTTTAAAAATCATTATGTTAGGTGTGCCATATTAAGAATATGAAATAGATACAAGTTGAGGTTATGCCTAAAAACACCTTTGTGGATCTCGACACAAGCAGCATCTTATATACAAGAAATGGGCAAATGCAAATGGCCAGGGCTTTTTTTCTCATAGAATGCCCAGAACGGAGTTCTAGCACCTTTTTTGGATGGAACCTTGTAGGGTAGGCAAAGCAGGTTGTATGATGTGTGTGAGTTCCGGCACCTTTTTTTTTTTTTTTTTTTTAGAAAAAAAGCACTGCAAATGGCTAACTTACTGTGAGATACCAGAATTTTGTGAAGAAAAATATAAAATAAAATCAAAAGAAGAACTGATGGTAGAGGGATATAGCATAGAAAATGAAGAAGCTAAAATGCTCTGAGACTTTAGAATTCAAATGGAATGTACCTGCCACATTACACCCCAGACCTAACGATTGTTGGTAAGAAAGGCAAAAAAGTCTGGATAGTGGACACAGCAGTAGCTGGAGGCAGCAGAAGAAAAGAGAAAGAACTAGAGAAAACCACAAAATACAATGGCCTATAAATAAAAATAGAACAACTGTGGCAAACAAAAGAAAGCAAAGATAATACCAATAGTGATAGACATTTTGAGTGCAATCCCCAAACATCTGGAACACCACTTGAATACTATCAGCATTGACAAAATCATCATCAGTCAACTGCAAGAAGCAGCTTTACTTGGGACTGTTTACATCCTGTGACAATACTTTTAACATCATTAAACAAAAACATCTATGGGAGGAACTTGATAGGTGGGCAAAAATGCCAAATCAGTCTAAACATCGGACTGATTGTGCCACCAACCATAGTAATAACTATTATTTATATATAATTTATATGCCACTCAACTCCAATGATTCTGAAAAATTTACTGAATGGTAATCAGAGCAATCACAATGAATGGGCCACGCAACAGAAATGATGCTGTTGGGAAATAATCAGCCAAGCATAGAGAAGGAATCAAGCAGGAAATTAGCTTTGAATCACTGTGTACCCTCCAAGGGATCCAAGACTGAACCCCCACACAACTCCATGGAGCCTTATCTATCTGTTTCCAAGGGAAGATAAACAGTCTAGGGAGACTTCTTGTATTATAGGCAGAATACAATAAAGTAGTTAGCTTGAACTCTACATGTATTGATCTGGTCACTTGTGCCTGACAGGTGCCTGAAGGGTGGAATCACACTATTGCAGAGCCATTGGGGAGTCACTGTACCACTCTAAAGGGTCTTGTTTCTTCTTGACTGGGAATAAAATTTAAGTATCCAAAGCCAAATTTATATATCTATTGATATATTCAGGAGATGAAAACTATGGATCTAACTTCAAATAATTTACTAAACTTGATAACATGGGAGCTGGGGATAAAAAAAATCCCTGCAGTGGCAGTGTCTTTTGCCTTCCTGATCAAGAGGGTTTTATAACAAAGTAGCATGACTAGAGGGTTTTTCTCTTTATCTCACTCTCATCTTAGAAGTTTCTGAGAGTATTTTATTCTATGTATTTGTTCTGGTATTAGTTTACCATTGATGTTTTCTCCTAAGCCAAGAATATTGTCATATCTGCCTGTTATTATTAAAGTCTGGTTATCTTAAAGGAAAAGATCTAAGAGGATGTCATTTTCTTCCCCGAGGTGATTTAGAGATTTTCTTTTTTTTTAACTCCACCCCCACCCCACTCTTTAATTGTTCAAAATAGCACAAAAGTGACATATACTAAGCACTGGGTAAAGGTGAACCTGGTAAAGAGCCAGGATAAAGTCCTATGAGGGCTGTTCCTTCTCAGTGGAAAATACATCAGGTCGATATAAGACTGACAGAAGCAATCTTAAGGACTGAACAGGAAAGTGGGATAGAGCAAAATGCACTATAATGCAAAAGAGCACGGTAAAGAATAAGGGAGAGAAAGAAGTCTGCTCATGGGGTATCTTCTAGGGAAGTACTTTGCCTACCAATTCTTTCAACATGGTAAAGATTGTGTGGAGGCAGGAGGGCATTTGGAGATTTCCTTCTTAGCCCTGGAGCAGGTCCTTTCTCCTTGAAAGACATTCTCCATTCTTGTGGAGAGTAATATTAATTTACAAATGAGCCTTCAATTATATAGTGTTCTAACAGAATAATATCCACAAGAGGTTCACTAAATTTAAAGAAATAAGTTGAAAGCTAATGGCTTTGTGTCAAAAGTATACATGTTCATTGTTAATTAATGACTATTGATATTATAACTTGATCTAAGATTTAAAGAACTGTAAAACAAACTCTAAGAACTTATAAAAACTTGCATATCTCAAATAGCAACTTCTCTTTCTCTTTTTGAAACTAATGTGATTGGTTTGCAAATATTTCCTCACAATGAAATGAGAGACCAAGCAGATAAATTAAGTGGGGAAATTAACACTATGGTTTAATGTTTATTAATGCTCAAGGCTTAGGGAAAAGGGCATTAATAGTTGTTTCAGGTATGATGAAATGACAGGAAAAGTGATTCATCTACCTTGTTTAGGTCACAAAACACAACAATCTGGAAGAATAATTCATCTTTTGCTGTCATGGCAAAAACCGTCTGCTGGACCTTTTCACCTAAAACATACTCCTTGATTTTTCAGCTATGATCATCAGAACAATTTCCATAACTTATATGTTGAACAGAAACATTCATGTCACTCAATATTAATTAATGTATAAAAGCAACAATTGAAAAATATTTACTATGAAAGAAATGTGAAGTACAGGGTTTTTTTTTTACTCACCTGCCTATCTACTTCTGGAAGTAAAAGCAGGAGGTATTGTTGGAAATGCTGAGGTAATGAAAGAAATGTATGTTTGTTTATTAAAGCCCTCAAATTGGTATTCACAAGAATAGATCCTGGTGTTTCTATATCAATGTCCTCGGCTTTGGTCCATTTCAAATGTCCTGGATTAAACAAATAAGAACACATTTAACTCTATCACAAATAAAAGAAGGCAAAGGTACATTTAATAAGTAAAATTCAAAACATTTACATTTCATATAGTATAGCAGCTGTCCATGCTAAGGTGAGGAGCACTTTCCTTCCCAACACTTTTGAAAGCACTATACACTTGCTTTCACATGTGCATAGTATTTTTGTTTCCTCTTTTCATATTATCAAAATAATGTTGCTTTATTTTATAGAAGAAACTATCTAACTATAGAAAATGAGTCGAATTCCAGTCTCATTACTTCATCAAACTATGCCGTTAAAATCAGTTGCTAAGCAAAATGTGTTAGAAACCAATAAAATGTGTTATAAACTTGCAATAAAAGCTGTTTTAAAATAGAAACCAGCAAAAATCACACTACATTATAAATTGTTCTTTGTACACTTTCATGAAGGAACTAAAGCCACTAACACATTGTAAAGTTATGAATTAATCTTTTAAAAAAATCTATATTTTCATATTTGAGTTGGTAAAGTAAGAACCAATGAGAAATAGAAAACAAAACAGGGTACTGGAGGTCAATAATCCATTACACAGACAGTGTTGCTGAAATGATTTTGGATTTTATGACAATGGCCTAAGTAACCTTCATGAAGAACTGCTAGAGCAGATACCATGCTGAACTCATCAGGATGGTGTTAAACTAATGGGAACAGTGGCAGGAGTTCAGAAACAAATATGCATCCAAGCCTTAGAGCTAAGAAAACAGACCACAAAAAGAAAAGCAGGAGGCCAGAATGAAACTCAGAATTTCACAGACAGTCCAGTAGCCAGTGCCACTCAAAATCTCAGTTGTTTCTACATTTATACATAGAAAATGGGAAATAAATAGCGAGATTAACACAAATACAAACACTGAGAACTAATGGCTTCTACTTATGGCTGGCACATAGCACAATTTATTCATAAGGAACAGATCCAACAAAAAAATGGGGTGGGGAGTGGCAATATATGTAAAGGAAAAATATGCTTGCATAGAAACCCAGTAATCAGAGCATTAATGCTCTGTGAAAGCATTTGTACAAGAATAAAATGAGACAGAAGGAAGAAATAAAGATGATATTGGAATTTATTACAGATCACCTTAGCTGGCTGAAGATATGGATGAAGCTTTTATATAAGATTACCAGTCTTTCAAAGAGAGATTTTAATTATAATGACATCAGCTGGGAATCTACCTCTTCTAAAAGTCAGAAAGCCAACAACTGTTTGTCTTTTCTTGATGACAATTTTATTTATCAGAAAGTGGAAGAACAACAGACTTTGTCATCCTAGATCTAAATATCACTGGCATGAAATAATTAGTTGAAGTAGTAAAGGTGACTGGTAGCTTTGGAAAATTAGTCATGTTACCCTTGAATTCATAATCTCCAGGGGAGAAGGTATGGAATAGAACCAGACCATTATTTTGTATTCCAAAAGATTAGACATTGATAACCTTCAAGAGAAGCATGTTGGAGGGAAGCACAACAGGGTTATGTCCTGAACCCTGTGTTATTCAATATTTATAATGATTTGAAAGAAGGAGTTGAAGTAATAATTATCAAATTTGCAGATGACACAAAACTGGATTGGGTGACTAATATTTCAGAGGAAAGAAAGTTTTTAAAATATCTACACAAGCTTGAATAGTGGACTGAAGTAAACAGTGCAGAATTTAACAGCTGGAGGAAAAACATAGGACCCAAGTATAGGATGGGGAAGACCTGGTTTTGCAATAATACATGTGAAAAGAATCTGGTTGACCTTGCCAACCACAAGTTAAATATGGTTAGCCATGTCCTGAAACTTTTAAAAGACAAATTCTATCTTGGGATTCATTAGCAGAAATATGGAGTCTAGATCACAGGAGTTAATTGTTTCACTCTAATCAGATCTCAGTTGGAGTACAATTTGATATGCAGTTCTGGGCACTATAATTCAAAAAGGATAATGACAACTTTAACCGAGTTCAGAGGTAGGCTCCCAAAATGGTGATGGGTTTTGAAAGCAAGGTCTCTGAGGAATAGTTAAAAAGAATATGCTTATGTTTTGCAGAAAAGGTGACTGAGGGGAAACATCATAGCAGATTTTAAATGTCTGAAAAGTTGTCACACAAGAGTAAACTTATTCTCTATTACCTCAAATATCAGATCCAGAAGCAATGAGTTAAAAAATATAAGGAAGTATAAACTGGGTATCAGAAGGAACATCATAATTATGTAAGCTATCAATCAGTGGAACAAGCTGCCGCATGAAATGTTATGATCATCATTGTCTACACTGGAAGTAACAGTGATTTCAGTGTTGAAATTCATTTATTTTTTATTTTCAAAAACTGAAATGTTAAGAACAGAACTTAAAAATAAATAGAATTAAAAATCAGACATAATAATTGTTCCTAATGGGAATCTAATTTCTCATGCATAATAAAAGGTGTTTTTTTTTTAAAAATCCTGCATATGCAACTCCAAGATACAAATTAAAAGTTGGGGGCTGGAAGGCACAGAATCTTAAAACAAAATTAAAAATTTGTGTCCATTAAAGCCGTAGTCTCTCAATGATATAAACTATAAAAAGTCAGCAAATATATTTTCTCATTTTGCTTAATTTAACTTTAAAAATAATGTATTATGCATTAATTTTCCTTCTTCCGTCCTTCATGAAACTGAAGATAGCTTGTATAAAATTACAAGAACCTGAGCAGAAACGCTCAGTTTAAGCAGGATAGTGGTAATCATATGCCATCAGGCTGTCTCATGAGATAATAATTCTAGTACTTAATAATAGCTAAAAATGAAGACAACATCTAGCTCACAGAAATTCTATTTAGCCCTGACTTTTGAGATTTATTGATTTACTGATTTATTACATTTTTAATCTATCTTTCCTGCAAGATGTCAAGGTGCTACACACATGTGGAGTAGGGAGGAAGAGTGACATTTATCTTACAGTAACAACACAGTCTGTAGTTCAAGAGAAAATAACATTTGGGCACAAAAAAATGAGCAAATGGTCTCTCGGATTATGTGGAAACCTGTTTGTAACCATTGTAACCATTCTCAGGAATTGTTGACTGTTAGAAAAAAGTTTTTTTAAAAAACAGTTATGTTTTCCAAGAAGCTGAATCCTGTACTTTTGAAAACCTGCCTCCACATAGAATTCACCCATTTATATGAAAAATGTACTGTTAAAACAAATTAGAGAAAGGAAAAATTCTCCTATTTGAACAAGGTACAAAAGTTCTGCATTAATATGTACATTTTCTTAACTTTTGAATGAAAACATGGTTCTCAGTTCCAAGCAGCGATCCTATGTATTCAGAGCAACACGTATATGTTAATCATGCTTTTACTTTTATTGCATCCTTTTTATTATTTTATACTGATTAATGCTTTTATATTTGATTTATAACTTTTAATGTTCAATGCTTTTAATGTTTAAACATTGTAATTGTTTTATATTGCTGTTTTGTGATGTTGTAAGCCACCCAGAGTTGCTCCACAATGAGTTGGGTGGCATATTAACTAATCAAACAAACAAAAAAACAAATAAATAAAATATTATATATATATTTATTATTGAAAGGCATCAGAATCTCTGGCTGTGAAATAAATAAAACAGCAAGTGAGCAAATAATGTTTTTCCATTAATTGTAGAGCAGAATATTAGTTACTGGTTTGGAGATAAAAGATTATGTATAGAGAGCTATATGTTTTGGTAGCTCACATTGTATTCGTTGTACTGATGATGCTTCAAAACCTAGAGAGCCTTCTCCGTTCCTGAAAACTTTAAGTCAGATGTTCTCATATAACCTGAAGCTCAACTAGCTATACAGAAATTGAAAATTAACATCCCTTCTCCCAGACAAAGAAGCATCTTTGTGCCTGCACAAATCTCTTTGAATTCTAATCATTTGACTATAAGCGAGTTATCCCAATAGTATATAAACAAAGATTGATGATTCAATTATTCTCTGAAATGCTACAAGATCTTCAAAACTGCAAGTATCACAATTAAACAGTTACAAAAAATACAATGTTCCATTTATTTTCAGTGAGATTAGGCAAGGAGGGTTGTATTCAATGGATTTTTTTAAATGGAAGGCAACCACATTTTCATTCATAAAAAGCACCTGTGGCTACCTAATCTAGTATACTGTCCCCACAATGTCCAGTTAATGCCAGTGGCAAGGCCATATGCAGAATACAAGTACAGCAATATTTCCCTGAAAACAATCCACAGCAACTGAGATTCAGACAGAGAGCAATACAAAGTCATCCAGAAATTATTGATAGTTTTATGTATCATGCATTTGTCAAATTCTTTTTCATAATCATCCAAATTGCCAGATGTCACTATATCCATGTTTTAACAAATTCTATAATGTATTCATTGACTTTTTAACTATCCAAGTTCATCAGATGGCCCCATGTTCTACTCCACTTTTTTTATACCATGCCCAATCTTAGATAGTTCTGTCATGTCCCATTTACTCAATTTCTTCTAAACTCATTAGTTGCAAATGTGACTTTATCTCATATGGAGGATGTTCATACACTTTCATCATTTTGATTGCCTTTTCCTATACCTCTTGCAATTAAATAATAATACTGTTTGGGTGGTGCTATGAGTCCAACTATAACTAGTAAGCCAAGGGTAGTTACATTATGGGTTAGAATGTATTTTATTACAACTGTGACAGATTTATCTTCTGTCCTTTACCAATGATTGCCACAGCTGAATTTTACCTGAATGCACCAAATTGTATTTTTCACAAGTGCCTCAAAAGAGAGTGATGCTTTCATCAAACTAGGGGCCAAAAATTCATTTTTTGTCAATAGTGATCACAGTCACCATCAAGCTTCAGACCGTATCAGCATAGAGGTAAAGCAGATTTTTAAAATCTCAATTTGCATTACTGAACAATATTTGAGATCTTAATGCCTGCTTGTATATACTGTTTTGGAAGTTTTCAAAATCTGCTTTAACCATCTTAAGAAAGCAAACTTGATTGCTTCTCTAATTTTCCTGTTATGGTCCTCACCAGCTATGCGCCCAGAAAGCTTTTCTGGAAGTGTAGCTAGTAAGTACTTCTGAACAGCTGAGATCATATCTTAATGGCTATGTGGTCAGGGTGTGGGATTGGATTCCAAATCATAAATGGCAGTCTGAGAGAGCAGCAATGTGCACAAATTTCTTGTTAGATAATTCCAGACTTGCCCTACAGCAGCGTTTCTCAATCTTGGTAACTTTAAAATATACTTCTGGTTGGGAGTTGAAGTCCACAAATCTTAAAATTGCCAAGGATGAAAAACACTACTAGTTCTCCTTAATGCAGGCCATTCTGTCAGGAATCCTGGACTTTTCAGACAGGCTTTTGGGATTCAAGGAGGAAGAAAATATAGGGAAGATGAGCATGGCCTTCCTATTTCTGTGGGTTACACCACAGATTACAAGCCATAGTAACCTCGGCTTTATAGGCAGCTAATTTAAATCCTATTATCTAATATTTAAAGCATATTAAATGCAAGAACAAAAAATTTCCCATTTCCCCTTCATTAATTGTGCTTCCAAGTTAGACTTAAGAAGACTTCAGAGCCACTCATTCTTTTGCTATCAGAGAGAGACTCTAAAAACTTCTAAGCATATCAATGAAGGAAACTGAATCATGTTTTATAGACAGGAAGCTATCAAAGAATGGAGAAAGGGATTTTATTGTATGCAAAATCTTTCACATAAAAATATCATTTTTGAAAAAGGCAGCCCTATATTTGTCTTTTGTTCCCTTTTCTGCTAAGCTATAATAAAAAATAAATATCTAAACACAAGTAAATAAAATTCTATAAAACATTCACCCTGGTCTTTCAAAGAATAAATGCTAGTTTTGATTACTTAATTACATTGGAAAAGATATAATACAATGAAGCTTATCAACCACTGAGCCAGAAATGGCCATTTTCACATTGCAGCTTCTCAAGACTCTTAATTTAAAACAATGCCATGAACTAAAGAGTAAATCATGTCTGTGTGAGTGTGCACGGGTGTGTGTGGGGAGGAGGGTAGAGAGGGAGAGAGAGAGAGAATAGGAGAGACTAGAAAGAGCTTTGTTGCCAAAACAGAGATTTAATTTTGTCCAGATGGATGGGAAGAATTGTAGATTCTGTATTTAATGGATGACGTTAAACAATTTTTACCACAGCTTTAATCATCAAGCAAAATTTGTTTTAGAATCAAAATATAATTCACAAAGAATAAAAAGATATGAAGAGAACCTGAAGTAAAACAAATACAAAAAACAAGATACTGATGCCAGCAATAGAAATTTGCAATTTTAAAGGAAAATAACTTCTTTCAGAGCATATTGCTAATTTATTTGGAGTAGTTACACCATTAGATAATACTATGAAATGGCCCTAAGTTTAAGAAGGATAAGGAGCAGTTATAAAATTAGCATTTTTGAAATATTCTAAAATATTAAACTAGGTTGCAAACAAAAATCCAAGAAAGGAATAAATGCAGGGTCTGACTATAAATAATCCAACACAAAGCAAAAAGCCCTGCCTGTTTATTTCTTTAATGAGACATTTTGTTACTGCCTAAGATAAATAAGTTACATATAATTTAGCAAAAAAAAAGGGGGGGGGAGGGAGGGAGCCCAACACTTAAAAGTTTAACAGAGTGAATATAAATATTGGTTTACTATATAATCTGAGCTATTTTATGCTATTAGGAATGAGAAAGAAAAGCCAAAGTAAGAAAAGAAATGCGACTGAGAAATATGTAAATAATACGCTGAGAAATAATGAAAAAAGATAAAGGGAGGGAAAGTAAGAATAGTCCTCCATGAAAAGATGGTGAAGCAAGAAACAGCTGGCTCCAAAATGGCCAATTTAGGGGAGCTCCAGTCTGTCTGATTGAAAAGGGTTGTGACAGAATGGCCTGCTGGGAAAAGGTGCCCCAAAAGGGGACACCCCTGCAGAGTTCAAAGGGACAAAAGAACACAGCAAGGGAAGCCCCCGTGCACTGAAAAAGATATCCAAAACATCAAGAGAGAAAATGCAAAATTCTATATAGTGAGTTTTCATCTTTTCTATGTATTCTATAAAGTAAAAAGATGGGGGGGGGAAGGACATTTTAGAGACCTACTCACCTAAACCAGATTTTTTTAATCTCTTTAAATGCTGGCTCATTTGTTTTCCAGTTGGAGACTTTGGCCCATGTTTCATTTCTTTATCAGAATTGTCTGCTTCACCATTTTTAGATTCAGACCCTTTAAAAAAGCAAACGTTATACTGAAGTGCTTCCCCGTTTGGGAAAAACCAAAACCAAAAACAAAGCTATATTTTTTTTTTACAAAAAGAAAAAAAGAACAAAACCCGTATAGTGATATCTTTATCTGTTACCCTATTTAAAGGTTATGTTTTCTGCTGACAAGTTGATTCCCTGTCACTGGAAGCAACGAAGCAAAAGCTCATAAATCCATTAAGTGATGAAAACAAGTTTCTTCAATGTAACAGTCAATAAAGATGTTTGCTAATCCAATATAAATAAGCTTCTTCTCCGATAGCAGAGACATCTTTAAAAATAATAACGCTACCTTTATAAGAGAACAAAGAAATAAAAGGAAGAATGGGAAACCCTCCCTTTGGTAAGTTAATTTTCTCCCACATCTGGGGGGGGGGGAACCCAACCTACAATAAAAAGTGACACAGATCTCTGCACGATTCATTCACAGTGAAGCATGTAACAGCCAAAAGTAAAGGTCAGGGTTGCACTGTGGTGATTAAGATGGTGCCAGAACACAAAATCTTATTAAAAGGACAACTGTTATTGCAAGACAGGAGTATGATAGTAATTCGCACTCCCAGAGGAGTTGTGATGGTTATTTATTTGGCTCCCTGATGGCACAGAATGCCAAAACATAGCTCTCCTATTAAGAATCAGCATCCAAAAAGACTACTTTGCATTCCTTTAAAGCAGCTGTTGTAATTTTAATTTTTTTTTAGATACAGTCTTTCTCTCTTGATCCTCCCCTCCCCTCCCTCCTAGCACTGAAATTAAAACCTTCCTTCTTGGAATTAATAAAATTGGTTTAAAAAATGAAACAGAATCCATCTTGTGGGAACACCATCATAATTTTTCAACATCCTAATTTTGTGCACGATAGCTCTCACCTCATCGGGAGGGCTCTTTGACTAGAAACTGTTGTTGCAGTCAGTCTGTAGTTATTTACCTGAAGGTGAATCCGACTGCTCATCAGACACCTTTAATGGTGTCAAAACAACACGAGGAACAGTCTTGTTTACCATCATTGAGACTCCATTTCTTCTTTTCTGCTGCTGTCTCAAAGCCTACAAAGGACAAAACAAAACAGAAAAATATAACACAAAATGCTGCTCACAAGTGAATTACACAAAACATTCCCCTTTCATTCAGCTAAGCTACTTAAGATAATAATATCCAAGTAGCTGCAAATTTGCCATTCTTCCATTTCATATCTCTCTCTGTCTCATTCAATCTCCCTATATTTTAATTTAAGCATAAAGAAGATGCACCTTTAAAATCCAGAACAATGTTGACAACAAAGAAGCATTCATAACTGTTTGCTCTACCTTAGCAGCAGAAACATGAGAACCCATGGAATTTAAAACTGAGATTTTCAAGTAAAACAAATCTAAAAATAAATATTTCAAAACCAGACTAAAACTCCATGTCTGTACATCTCTTGCAGGTGCATCTTCTCCCGTACACTGCTCAGTCAATCAAGTTAACACAGTGTCATCAGTATGTACAGCATGTAAGGGCTACAGTATTGATGCACTCACTCAGCCGTGAGTAGCGCTGCACAAAATCACTGCACATGGCAGGAATCATTTATTTCTGCGAAAGGGATCGGTCCTAATCTTGGAAAACCTTGCAGCACTTGGCTTCTGTCTGCTTGACTTTGGGCATTAACCTTCAAAACACGAACATGGTAAATGTGGGAGAAAATCATAAAAGAATAAATATCTACAAATGGGAGGGGGTTTGTGTGTGTATTTGTTTGTGTGCATGTTTCTTTTTTTGTAACTGTATCAGCAACAGGGAGGATAATGCAATACAAAATACAAATAGGACCTGAATAGCTGCCAGGATATTTTATACAATAAAATAACGCAAATTGGAAGATTAGGAAACATGAATGGGAGAATCTGCCAGTTAAACAATTTACAAGCACAAATATTTAAACTGAATAAGTTATAACAAATCGGCTCACTTCTGATTATCTGGTACCTGCTTGTAATCCGCATTTTACACTCTTATCTTTGATTTGTGTGTGCATTAAAAAGACCACTAAATTTTACCAAAGGAGATCATGCTTAGCATGAATTAATATCCTTTGTCTCCTTACGAGCATAAACGACTAATGACTTGTGAGCTTAATTCTGTAATTGCAATACAGCTGTAGTCTATTTAGATGACAATGCTTTGCACACAACACTTCAAAGGCAAAATAATTAAAAACAATTGCTTCCTATTTCTCTGGATAATAATATTTTAAAGCACAAATTCTGTCCCAGAAAGAACAATAAAAAAGCAACAACTGGGTATTTAACAGATATTTCAATGTAGAATGTATCAGAGGGACATAGACAATAAAGGAGAATTTTAAAAAATGGCTGTCAACCAACAAAATAATTTAAACTGATTTATTGCCTTAAATCAACCAGATTTACATATTTATGCATGTTTGTCAAAATATAATCACATAGTTTTAATATACTGAAAGCAAACAGCTCCTCTTTAATTGGATGACAATATTTAAAATTCAGTGGACAAACAAACCTATCTATTAATGGAAGAAAATATAGCTTTAATATTTGCTTCCATCAGTTTGGAAACTTAAAATGTAGGATATTTCAGTTACAGTAATAGTGCAATAGTTTTAATATGAATGTTCAATTCCCATCAATATTATGATAAATCTGGTTGCAAGATATATTAATACTAATTTTAGCTCAGCTCTGTGAAGTTTACTATCCTATAAATGTTACTGAAATAAAAAAATGCATGTATCCAAACTGAAATGCCTTGTTTTACATTTCTTTATAATTAAATTTGGTGGCATCTCTATATAGCCAGTCTAGCAATATGTTCCACTGATTAACTGTAGAGCAAATTTCATCTGCAATTAAATGTTTAGTTGATTAAGCAACTAATTCAGTTAGGGGTTATGCTCTCAATAAATATCAATATTCATGGCCCTGAAAGCACATAACACAGTATATAAAAATCTAAACAAAGATGTACAAACAATGAAAATCACTACCTCTGATTTGCAAGTAATAGCTATAACTATTTCTGTCAATATTTGTTTTTGCCCTCCAAGTTTAAAACATTGCAACTGTATTGTTGTATATAAATTAAATTTCTACAAGTACTATTTATTCAACAACAGAAGTGGCAGAAACTATTTCTATGGGTATTTAGACAAATATGCCTTACAAAACCTCATGAAGTACCATGGCACAGATCAGGTGCATTGGTTCCTTCCATTTCTGGTGTAAGATGGCCATATACAAACCCCAGATTATCCTATCTCCCCGCATCCAAAAAGGTCTTACACCCAAATCTCACCTGCTATGTCTGCTCCTGACTGCTCGATAATGTTACCATACTGTGCCTAGTTCCTTCCTCTTTCTCTACAGACCTCATATGAAAAGATAGCATATTGTTTGGATTATGGAATTTAAGCAAGTGATCATCAACCACAGGAAAATGAAAGACAAGTTAATAACGCAATTCCACATAGTGACTACTCAGAGACACTGTGATAACCAAGACACATATACAAGGTAACTTCTAAAACAATTCTAATAACAGCAGATTAAAGCTCAACAGATTTCAGAAGAATGATGGAGGGAGGCAAAATGCAGAAGTTGGTGGAGGAGAAAGAAAATAGGTGGTGAAGATTAATAATAATAATAATAATAATAATAATAATAATAATAATAATAATAATAATAATAATAATAATAATAATAGTAATAATAATAATAAAGTTGGAAGGGACCTTGGAGAAAAAGAAAAAGCCCAAGATAGTGTGGAATCACTTCGACAAAACAAAAGATATTAAGAAGTTGTTAAGTAGATGAATGCCAAGATAAATTGGAAGAAGGAACAGAAGAGTTAAATAACCATCACCTTCACCTTGGGAAAGAAGTGGAAGTGAGAAAGAAACTCAAGGTAATCTATTTTGATCCTGTCTAGTATAAAACAGGGGTTGAAAGAAACCCTGCCAAACTTTCAGGATTCTGTTATTACCCTCTGCAACAATAAAATGGAGCTCTTTATAATGTCTTTTTCCTGATTGGGGCTAACTTGAAAGGTTTGGCATCAGTAGAAAAGCTAAATGTGCACAGGTCATAGTACGGGAATTGTATGCCATTGTAATATATCACATATTTTGGGGTGGAGCAAGGGGTGGGAATCTTAGTAGCCACAAAAAGTGCAAAACATACCTTTGTAAGGAACATACATTAACCAAATAGTAATTTACAAGCTTTGTATGACAGTTGTGGAAATCAAGATCGAATTTTCCTAACTTTGACTCACCAACTTATTGAACTACCGATTTTAATAAATATGAAAGAAAATGGACACTAAACCTCTCTTTTTTCCCATCTTTGACTAGAAACAAATCTAGATGATAATCAAAGTTCTGGTGAATCACTATATGTGACTGACTGAGTCTTAGCAAACTGTGTTCACATATAGTGAAGAAAAGGTTGACATAGGCAATCTGGTGACTTCCAGAAGTTTTGGACCACAAGTCTGATAAATCTCAATCAATATGGCCAACAGATAATAGGGGTAATGGGGGCTATTATCTAAAACATTTTAAGTAAGATGCAAAAGTACACATAGATCTTAATCATGGGATAAAACAAATGGATATCAATAAAAAATTGAGGGTAAAAGCCCTTAATCCTCCTAGTTCAAGATAATAGATGCAATTATATATGTGACATAGATTATAACCCAATAGTTTAAGGTAAAGTAATTAGACACCTTTTACAGTTATTAACTGTAACTTAAACATTCTCAAAAACGAAAGCAATCCAGACTTAACTTCCCTATTAAATTTCTTTATGTCCTAATTAGTAACTTTAATTATAGTTTCATAGACATAAAGTTGATTATGAAAAGAGTATTTTTTAAATCTAACTCATACAATTTAAAACAAAGATAGTAAGATAAAAACTAACATGCTGACATTTTAGCATAAATACAGGTCAACCACTTCTTTTCATGACATTTACTATATCAAAAGTGACACATAATTAAATGAAATATAAACTAATTGGTGTATCAAGAAACAGTCTAGTCTTCCTAATGTATCATTAATTACATTATGTAGTCTGCAACAATACATTACATTTGTCATGCATGGGGAATCTATAAATAAAAAACGTACATTCTTAAAATCGCTGTCAGAAAAATGTTACAATATAAATCACACTTACAAAACAAAAAGTAATTTAAAAATCCCATATAATCTCTACCAGATAGTCAGGAAAGCCAATATTCTCATAAAAACCAAATGTAAACAATTCTAATTCTTTACTGTCAAAAGCATTCATTTCATATCTAGAATCTGATTAGCAACATTAATTTAGGTCTGAAAACCATTAACTATAATTCTCTCTTAAAACTTTCTACAATGTTTGATGTAGCAAAGAATCAAAGTACTAAGTATAAAAGCAGAATATGTCTTCAAGGCTGCAGCCAATTTATTTGACAGAGAGTAATAAAACATGCTGACCTACAAAATCACTAAAGCATCTGCATCCTTAAACATGCTGCTTAACATTTCTCTTGTATACAAGCTCAGATTCCAATAAAATAAAATGGTAAGGAATCATTTGTTGATAATTTATACTGAAAAATCTAAGTGTGCTAGATAGAAAAACATCCAATGTCAATTGAAGAGAAATATGTTCTTTCCAGTTGCTATTTTTATCCTAAACCCATTACATAGTATTCAACACACATTTCATCAATACAAATGATTATACCATAATTTTTCTATCTGTACTTGTCTTGTCTTGATTGATATTGTACATCTCTATTTGTTTTCATTTTGTGATGCAGGAATCTTTCCAGCACTGTTTTTTTTTTCCTTTACCACAAAAACAATGTCAAATAACTTGCACAAAAAGGGGAGTGGGGGAGCCTATTCTCTAGTCCCTAACTGCAATTGCCACTGCCAAACATTAAGTCAATACAGATATGGGAAGAAGCCATAAACCACTCTTATGGCCCTAGGCTTTGAGACATGGAAAAAAAGCAGCACAGTTATTAGCACTCC